CCTCCCCATGGCATGGGACCAAACGCGCCCAGCCCCGCCTGCGGGACTCCCCCGCGTCGTCTCTTCGGCTCGTGAGCCCCGACGGACCACTCCATCCCCCCGAAGAGGGAAGAGGAGGGCCCGACGATTGACCCAAGTCGAGGGTGACGAATCCCCTCATATGGCCAGAAAGGGAGCAAGACTCCCCATATCGGTGCCAACCCGTTTGCAGTCAGGGTCGCCATCCCCTACCGGCACAATGGGGAACCGTCCCGAGAAGGACGGCTCCCCCAGGACCCCCGCCCTCCGAAGAGGATGGGAGCCCCTTGGGGTACCGGACCCGGTGTGCAGACTCCTCCCATTAGTGAGAGGAGTCCGCACGGGATGCTCTTAGACCTCCCCGAGCCGACCCCTTGCGGGGTATGACCCAAGAGGGAGCCCGCTCACCACGACAAGGTGGCATCCCACGAGGGGGACGTATTGTCTTATCCTAACTTAATCTAACTTAACCTAACATACAATTACAACCTATTCCTTCTTTCTCCTTCTTTCACCTCCATTTCCGCTGTCTTCCACTTCATTGACGTGGTTCAAATCCTTCTAATCTTACTCAATTCATTTCTTCACCCCACAGAGCCTCCCTTTCCCCCTCATTTTCTCTCTCTCTCTCTCTCGCGCCCTCACCCTCTTTCCCCCCCTCCCACACTCTCCCTCCCCCTCTCTTTCTCTCACCCTCTCCTCTCTTCCTTGCTCTCACTCTCTCTCACTTTCTCTCTCCTTCCTATTTCCTCCCTCTCTTTTCTCTCGTCTTTCCCTTCCACCCCCACAGTCACTCTCTCCCTTCCTCATCCCCTCCCTCATTCTCTCTCTTTCCTTCTCCACCTTCCTCATCCACTCTTCCCCCTCACCTTCTTCCCCTAAATTTCTCCCCAACTCTTTCTGCCATCTTCCCACTTCCCCATTCCACCAGGCTCTACACCCCTCCCATAAGTGGTCCCACGACTCCACCTCATTCCCACATAGCCTGCATTTCCTTTCCTCCTCACCCTCCCAATATCTTCCCTCCCTCACCTCATTCCCTAGTCTAAACCATGCCACTCTTCTCCATCTCCCCTCCCCCAACCTTTCCTCAAATACTCCGGAACCCCCTTCCCTTTTACCCATCCATACCACTATTAAACTCCGATACCCTTATTTTATCCCATCTTTCCACCCTCTGCAATTATCTATCCCTTTCCTATAACTCCTCCCATACCCTCTCTCCCTCTCGCTACCCCCTTTGCCAATTCTCTAACTCCACCCTCCTTACCTCAAAAAATTGCCTTCTTTCCCCCACCCATCCCTCAATCCTCTCCCCACTCCTTACATTCCCTCTCAACTCCTCTCAACATAACCTCGCCAACTCACTTCCTCCACCCCCCTTTAATCTCTTCTCAAATGCCCACGATCTTTTTCCCGTCTTCCCGCTTAATTTCTCCTTTTGTAACTCCTCCCCTAACCATATACCCCGGCGTCCTTCTCTCCACCCCTAATACCACAGGTACCTCTCCTGCAGTCTCTCCACCGCCTCCCTCTCCTTCCAACCCCATATTTCAGCCCCGTAACTCACCATTGCCCAGACCAGTTTGTCAAATAACCATATCCTCTTCCAATCTTTCCCAAACCTCCTCTTTCCTATCCTCCACACCTGCCCCATCATTGCCACCGCCTTCTCTACTCTTTCCTTGACATGCTCCTCCTGCCCCCATTCCTCTGCATTGTATACCCCAAGTACTTGAATTTCTGCACTTCCTCTATTTCCCTCCCTTTCCATTTCCACTTCACCTTACTACTACTTACTCCTTCCCCCCTTTCTTAAACCTGACTATTTTCATCTTCTCCCTATTTACCTCCAATCCCTTCCTTTCCACATATCCCTTTAACCTCTCAATCATACTTTCCATACTCCCCTCATCTTCTGCCAATAGCACCACATCATCCGCATACGCTAATCCATATACTCTCCCATCCGCTAATTTCACTCCCTCCCCATTTAACCCTACCCATCTCTTCCACCATATCCACCATTAAAATGTTAAATAATAATGATTCAATGGACAACCCTGCCTTATCCCCCTCGCTGTTCAAAAGCTTTCTCTTAAATCTCCCCCCCTGCTCTCAATCTACTCGTACTTTTCGTCTTCCACATTATCTCCCCCACGCTCTTTATCCGTCCCTCTCTTATCCTCCTCCTTCTCATCTCATTCAACAAAACCACCTTGTCCACCGAATCAAACGCCGCTTTTAAATCCACGAACAATGCAATCAATTTCCCCCCTTTTTTCCTCACCTAGCTATTTACCAAAAAATTCAATATATGAATATTATCCATCGTCCCCAATCCTTTGCTAAATCTCGTTTGATTCGGCGGAATTAATCCCTTCTCCTCCACTTCCTCTCTTAATCTTTCTGCTAGCACTGCCGTATACACCTTGTACAAAGTTGGCATAATTGATGCCCCCCTATAATCCCTCACCTCCTGCCCCTGCCCCTTTTTCCTTTTCGGCACCACTACTACCCCCTCCTTCCATTCCTCTGGCCAACCCTCTCCTTTCCAAACCCTTATTACATGCCTTCCACACCCACTCTTCCATCCTCTCCCCCCCATACTTGCACACCTCATTCAGAATCCCATATACCCCCATTGCCTTATCGTCCCTTAAATTTCTCATCACCCTCCTTATCTCTTCTCTGCTTATCTCTCTTTCCTTCCCTTGCCTTCTCCTTTCACTTTTTCCCCTTACTACTCTACACTCCACTCCCCCAACAAATCTTTGAAATAATCCTCCCACTCTTTCACCTCTATCCCCTTGTTTATCCCCTTCCATCTCTTCCTTTCCCCATTTACTATTTCCAACTCCTCTCACTCCTCGCCCCCTCCATCTTCATTTCCCATCTCTCATTCTCTTCTCTCTTTTTTTTCTCGCATAACTCCTTATATTCCCTTTTTTCTTTAATGTACTCCCTTCCTTCCTGCCTACCTTCCCTCCACTCCCTTAGCATCCTTCTTACCCTTTCCTTCTTCTCCTTACATTCCCTATCTCACCATTCTCTTCCCTTCCTTTCCTTACCCCTTTCCTTTTCTATCTCTCCTAAAATCTCCTTTATCTCTTACCTCCGTTTCATTCATGCATTCCATCCCCTCCCCTTCCCTCCATTCCACCCCCCCAACATCTTTCTAAATACCACCATACCTTATCCCACACTCCCCTGCTTGCTCCTCTTCCCTTCTTTCCTTTTTCTCTTTCTCCTTCCATGCCATAACCAAGGGGTGGTGATCCGATTCTATCTCATCCCCCACTTCCATATATTCAATCTCTTTCCTCGTTTCTTCATCCGCCAAGATATAATCAATTACTGAATTCCCCCTTCCTCCTACAGGATATGTCCAATTATCCTCTTTATCCCTTTTTATATCCCCATTCAATATTGACCAACCCTTTTCCCTTATAAATTCCAACAATTTACCCCCTCCTTATTTTTCCTATTATCTCTAGACCTTCTCTCCTCTTCTCCCCCTCCTTCTATCTCTTCCCTTATCCTACCTCTCTCCGTCCCTGTCCTTGCATTAAATCCCCCCCATCATCGTTTTCACTCCCTCTTCCTTACCCTCCATCTCCATTCCTCCAAACTCTCCAACATCCTCACCATATCCATATTTACATACACCCCCCCCCATCCTTACCCTATTCTTACCTATTTTCAACACCCTGACATCATTCCCTCCACTTCCTTTCTTCCCTCCTCCCGTACATACAAATCCTTTCTTATTCCCTCCATTCACTCCTTCTCTCTAATCTTCTTATTCTTTCCATCCATCCTTCATTTCCTTCCCCCTTTCCTATCTCCTCACCATCTCTCATTTTCTTCTCTCCCTCCTTCCATTCCCCTGACCCCATGGTGGAAGGATTACATAGTGTGCACAGTTCCCCCCATTTTTGCTCAACAAAAGTCGAGTACGCAAGGGTTACCAACTGCGAAACGTGAAACGCATTTCGCGTATGCTAGGTTAGTATGTGTGCAACAAGTCTTACTTCGTTTTGCAAGAGAGACTTTTCATTACTTTTTGTTTGCGAGAAATTCTTTGTGAAAATTCATTGATTCAGATAGTAATAGTACAAAATGGTAGTCTGTATAGTGAGTGGTTGCAACAGCAATTCTAGAAAATGTAACGGTGAACGTATAAGTTTCTTTCAATTGCCGAAAAACCAAATTATGCGTGAAGCTTGGTTGCGAAGAATCGGAGAAAATCGCATATCTCATAATAAAAAATTTGGTAAGTTCGTTCTCAATTATATTTAAGTATTTTAAACGCCCTGTACAAAATATTTAAATATAAATATGAAGAAAATAATATATGGTGACATTTGCTCACTCTTTGCTATTCAACGCATCTCCTTAATTAATTATAGTATTGCGTGCAAATATTTGCATTCTTTCACCATCCTCTTGTACTTTGATCATTGTATCAATGTTTTGTGCATCGAGCATTTATATCATTATATAAATGCATAAAATATAATAAATATGTTCTTTATTAGTTTTAATATAATATAATAGATATAATATAATACATATATAGATTTGTTTGCGTCGCATGCTTCAGCAAGCTCCAACATATTCCTATCATAGTTCTACTCCAACAAGCGTATTTATTTCTCGTAAGCCGTGAGTAGTGTAAGTGAAGTTGGACATATATTTTGCAATAGGTGTTATGCATTTACAATATGCTAGTAGTAAGCTTGATGTAATAAGTAAGAGTAAAAAATTGACCAATTACAGTCCATTTTTCTTCTTACATTTGATTGTGATTGGTTAATTTTTATTTCTTACACCAAGCTTACTCAGCATGTTGTAGACACATTAATATAGATTCTTCATTAGAATGCATTACTCTAGCTACAATTTTACTGTAGACAAAAACCTAAATGGTTTTGCTGTATTTCTGGAACATATTATGAAGTTACATTTTATATGTTTAGGAAAAGTGTGTTCATTGCATTTTTCGGAAGATTCATTCATGGTATCAAAAAGGAAATCGAAAGTTACAGAGGACAAGAGAAAACTACGCCTTTTACAAACTGCTATACCAACTTTGTTTTCAACATCAACAGAAAAGAGGTATAATTTTTGTTCGCAATTGTTTTGTTATTATATTATTTATGATAAATAATACCATAGATTTTTAACACCTTTCAGGACAAACTACTACGGTAAATATGGATTTTAAAATTATTCGTCGAGAATTTCCACTTGTCAGTAATCTAGGCACAAGCAGAGACGAGAATGAAGAAATCAGCAGTGAGATTGATGCAGTGGATAAATCTTGCCGCAATGTTACTTCTAACAATAACGAAACTGATGGCATTGCAGTAACATCAATAGTGAGTTCTAGAAGGTAAAATGAAAAATAATTTGTATTCTAGTGATGCGATGTTATTTCCAGTCCTTTATACACTGTTATGTAACTTTTCAACTGCGGTCGCACATATGTCATTTCTCTACTCACATGATTTTATTAATTGTCAATGTTACATTATATCTTATATATTTATATAGTAATCCGTGATTGAATGAATCGTACCAAGTAATTCGTACACCACCAAGTGCATTACACACACTTAGGACTGAGTTCAGTCACACATTTTCTAGAAGGTATGCTGTGCACTTCAAGGAATGCTTCATGGGATGATTGAAATTTTAAGCATTACAATAAGTACAAAAAACAATGAAAGAACAAGGGCAGTAGGAGTCAAGCGCGGGAGATGTTGCGCAAATAACACGACTATCGTAGCGTGAAACTTCTTTATTTTACTAAAGCGTTTACATGTTTCGGCTCATTTTTGAGCCTTCTTCAGAGATAACTAATAAATTCACATACATAGAATATAACAATTATTAACTAGTCATGGTGATCTTCCTCACCTCGAGAGTATAAATACCAGAATTAAATCCAGATAAGAATGCAGTAAAAAAGAAAAAAGGGGGAAAGAAATTTTGAAATTCTCGAAATAAAGAAAATGTAAAACTAATGAATCAAAAAATTTTTTAAATTATAATTAATTATTCCGATGGTTAGGAAGCTCACCTTGATCACAAGATACCGCATCGCAAACATTACTCTTAATACTTCAAAAACCGGTTTCTGATAAGTTGGTCAGTCAGTGTCAGACACAGTTAGTCTCTTATTGATTTAATTGGTCTTTATTGAGACAGTAATTAAAAAACTAGCGTTAAAAAATTAATCACCAAATCAAGAAAAGGTATCCCCGAAAATGATCAAAAGTCAACGCCCGACCGACTTCTTCCTGTGCACGAGCGACACTGACTGGCTAAGCGCGACAACAAGATTTCGACCTTTTATAGTCTATCAATCGGGAGGTAGGCCTTGGGAAGCCCCTCCATATCCGTTGTTAAAGAACTTGATGGTAGACGACTGAACAATGAATTCCAGTTAATATCTTTGGATGTAGTTAGCCTCTTCATTAACGTCCCCATTGATTACGCGATGGAGTGTATCAGGGACCATTGGCGTTTCATCTCTAAAGATTGCTGTTTGTCGGAGGAGGAATTTATTAAAGCAGTACAGTTTGTCTTAGATTCTACTTTCTTTGTGTTCGATAGTGTTATATATAAGCAGAATTATGGTACACCCATGGGTTCACCGTTGTCGCCTGTCATTGCGGATCTAGTTATGCGAAATTTGGAGTTTAGAGCCTTGTCTTCGATTCGATTTCCGTTGCCTTTTTACTATAGGTATGTGGATGATATAATTATGGCGG